CGTAGCCAAACCCAGGGGATGCTTTTCTTGTCCTCACCTACTTGAATGTTCAGAAACCTTCTGCACTGTGGACACCTGCATTGTTTCACACTTCTTTCTTGGCCACAAGGAGACGCGTCCTCTATGCTTCTTCCTACCTCTCTGGCACTTTCTCTCCATCTCTGCTTCACCTGTACTACCAGCTGTCGGTCAGTGTTAAGCGCTGTCAGGGTGTGGATCTTGGCCGGCTTTACCTACACTTCTCACGCTGTCCTGTGATGCCTTCACCCACAACTTCCCAATTTCCTTCTAGATGTGGAAGGCTTCTATATGTGTATCTTGTCCACACCTTGCATCCGAGCTCCACACCCGACTCCCTACTCGGATGCCTGGTTAGCTCTGCAAGCTAGTTATGCTCAGAACCAGCTCACCATCTTTCTCCTCATTCTGCCCTTTTTCTAGAAACGGCACATGCTGGACAGCTAGGGGTCATTTCTGACGTGGCCATCTCCCTCACCCAGCCCACTTTGTCCTGTTTGATTCTTCCTTCTAAATATTTCTCAAGTCTCATCACTTCTCTCCATCGCTTATGCCATCTCCCCTTTTCTCTCATTTGGATTATTGCTGTAGATTTCCAAATAACTGCTTCATCTGAGCTCTTAACTCTCTTTTAACCCGTTCTTCCTACAGCAGTTTGAGTGATTTTTTTAAAATTGCAAAGCAGACCCTGTGTTTACCAACCTAAAAATCCTCTGATGGTTTTTCTCTTAAGTCCAAATTTCTTAATATACCCTACAAAGCAATCTTGTGCCACTCTTTCCTTTCCTTACTTCAGCATTTTTGTTCTCAAAATAAGCCAAGCTCTTTCCCCAAACTCAGGGCTTCTCACCAGCAGTTCTCCATTTGGAAAGCCCCTTGAGCCAACATCCACCTACCCCGGCTTCTTTGCTGGCTAACTTATCTTTATGTCTCAGCTAAAATCTCAGCATAAATGTCAGTCCCCCTGGTAGGCATTCCTTGGGCCAGCCTAGAGTGTATGCCCATAAAATCAATTGGTTCCTTCAGGCAGATGGAACTTGAATCGAACCTTGAATAATAAGGCAACTTGGGTAGGAAAAGGTTCTAAATAATTTCCCAGGGATATGCTTATATGTGTGTCTATTATAGTTTTTTTCCCCTCTTCTCACATCTATGTACTCCTTCTTGTCACATTTTCACCCTCACAAAGCCAGTACTGAGCTGGTGGTAGCAATGAACGTTGGTACCAAAGTAGCAGCCTTCTGTGAAAAGAGATGCTAGGCCACTAAAAAGAGCCCTTCCCCCCCTACTCACCTGCACTAAGGGCCCAGACAATGTTTTAGAAAAGCTGGCTCCAGGAAGGGCAGTTGGTATGTTCAAAATGTTTTTTTCTGGTGCTGTAAAACTTGCACAGCAGTTAGCTGCAGTATTGATGGGAGAATTAAACAGTCTTAGCATCTGCAAACAGGTTGTCTTTCTTTGGCTTTCCACACTCCAATTGTCATCAGGTTCTGTGGATGCTTCCTTCCCCATGCCTTTATCTTCCTTAGTTTTACCATCATTGACAATGCCCTACTGTAGGCCTTCATCACTTCAGAACTGTAATGCTACAATGGACACCAGGTGGACTACCTACTTCCTGTCCCTTTCCCCTCCATTATATTTTCCAAAGTAAGTTCTCTAAAACACCACATTTATATAGTCATTCCCTGCTCAAAGGCCTGGACAGCTTTCATTACATTTAAGATAAACACAAACTTTGTCTGCTAGTCTGGAGATCCTGCACGGAATGTCCCTACCTTTCTTTCCAGCCTTGTCTCCCATTGTCCCATCACGCAACTAAACTCTATCCCCTGCTCTCCCCTCATGCTTTTATTTTTCCCTTGTCTGCCCCTTTGCACATACTACTGGCAAGTATGGCTCATACTAAATGGCAAGTCCTTATTCTCTTCACTTATTAAATCCCTACCCAACTTTTAAAACTAAGCCCAAATCCTACATTCTCCTTCTGGTACCGCCTCAACCTGTAGCGATCAATCTGGTCTCCGAAATAATATGATATGTGTTTCTATCTATGTTGACAATCATTACACACTCCTTTATATGATGGTTTTTGAAAGTGTCTAAGTCTATCTATGTTGACAATCATTACACACTCCTTTATATGATGGTTTTTGAAAGTGTCTAAGTCTTATATCTCCAAGATTCTAGGTTCCTGGAGGGCAAACTATATGTATTTTATAAGTTGACTCTTTAACGTATTGACTGCTTTAAAAGCAATCAAATCAACAAAACAAACAAAAACCTAGAGATTCAGAAATGACAGACCCAAATGTGTGATAGCCTCTTAGAAGAGTCAACTTGGGAAGCTATATCTCTACACCACAATGTCAACATTGCAAAAGGCACAGATCTAGAAAAAATAGCTAATACCGTGTCGGATAGGTTGTATTATTTTTCAAATTTTTTCTTTCCCTTCCCACTCCTTGCCATGGTTCACTAGGGGTGGAGTGCACCTCCTCTTGAACTCTGTGGCCTTGGCTGTATGACTTGCTCTGACTAATGTAATGTGAGCAGATGTGATGTACCCTCCGGCCGACCTGAGGCTGCATGTCCTGTGTGACCAGTGTGTTTTTGTGTGCTTCTTCCCTGCACTAGGATACAGCAGTCTCACGCAGCTGCTACTCCTCCAGCCTGAGTCCTGGGAGGAGCGATGTGTGGAGCCCTCCTGAACCTGCCACCCGAAACAGAACCGTTGCAGCCCATCCATGTACCCATAATCCAGATGGTGAGATGTGTTTGTTTGTTGTCATTGTTGTAAATCACTGAGGTGTTTCTGCTTTGGCACTGAAATAGCTGACTAATTAATAGATGACAGAATCAAAATTCTAAATTATTATAACAGGCTAGAATCCTGCTGGGCTGAAACCAACTAGATACAATTTAAAACAGTAAATGCAAAGATCTGTATTTGGGTTTGCATTTTGTTAAAAAAAGTGACAGATGACAGGGTATACTCTTTGCTACCAGTACCCAGCTTTTGAATAATTCTCAACACTGCATCCAGTTGGTCACTAGCAATCAATCAGAAATGGCAGATAAGGTGAAACTTACCATTTGCCATCCTGAACTGGTATATATTCAAAGAAGGAACAAGGATGGTGAGGAGTCTAGAAGTCACATTTTATGATGAGTGGCTGAAGGTGCTGGAGTGACTCATACATTCACATGATGTTACAATGGAAAGACACTCAGAAACCATGTCAGCCCTCCCAATGGGAGCAAATTTATTTTTATTTGGAGAAAGAAAACAGTATCATTCCTATTCTTTATTCATCCCTTCTTTTATCCCCAATTACCCAGTTGAATTTATTTAATTATATTTATAATAATTAGAAACATAAATATAAAGAATATAATGCCACCTACAAGCTAAGGCAAAAAGATATATACTATCAGTTACACATTATAAAACATTAGAAAGGATTTCCTGGTAGATTGTTTTCAATAATGGCCCCGTTATTTCTTTTCCTGTATCCACGCCCCTTTGCAATGTGACTTTGTAGCTCCTTCCAGCAAGAAGTGGGGACTATTTCTCCAACCCTTGAATGTGGGCTGGCTTGTGACTTGCTTTGACCATGGCAGGTCAGACTAGACTGGTGCAGGATGCGATAGTGCATAGCCCACAGCCAAGTCCTGAAGCTGTCAGGGGTCAGGCCTCAGACGTAGCACGAGAGAGCCCAGGCAGGATCAGATGTCCTGACCGGAATGAGCAGAACTAGCCAGCCTACCCTAGGCTCCCAAGCAATGATAAATGGTTGTTTTACCCCAATGAGTTTTGGGGGTAGTTTGGTACGTGATGTAGCAATAGATCACTCATACAGATTTAATGGGGGGCAGGGAAGCAAGCATCCTACTACGAATTCTAAAACAACATAGTTCAAGTGGTGCAGGCCCGCTGCCGTTAGCCCTCCACGAATATTTTCT